ATGTAATTGGACCTGTTTAATTCCGATTCATTTAATATTCTAAGGTTTAGTTTCTGTTTGTTGTTGTATTTTTGCTATGTTTAGTATTTTTTTTTTCTCAATTCAGGGGCTGCATCCTTCTGAGGCCGCATTTGAAGGCCAATTACGTCATAGCGATGCAACGAAGGCTGTCCCAATTTGAAGGCTGCTCCAAATGTGGCCGACAGTGATTGTTTGGCTTTTTTTCAGTGTTTTATTTGTTCCTGAGTAAATCAGTTTGGCTGAGATTAAAATCATAGTTTTCACACAGCTAAATAAACATCAAACAGGAGACTGATTAAACAGAAGTGTGAGATGGTTGAGAATATACTCCAATGTCCTGTTATAGTTTACATAGCAAGGAGCAGACGGTTGAGTTTATTAAACTCCACCGAGACAGCGGTGACGCAAATCTGAAGGCTAGACCGTCCCATTTTACAGCCTCACACTTCCGGCCTTCTTGGTCTTCAGAAGACCCGGCCCACATAGACCGCGAAGGTCAGGTCCTCGGAAGGATGCAGCCCCTGAATTGAGACACAGCTATTGTTTACATGTCCCTCTCTTCTCTCCCCATGCGGGTAGTGGTTCTTTCCATCTGTTTGTCATCCTGTCAGTGGATCAGATTATTTTATGTTTGTGACCATTTACTTGGGTACTTTGCCTTTTGTTCCTGTTAATGTTTTTCTTCTGAGTTTGGTTCTGTGTTGGTGAGTCCTTTTGGGTGCACAACTCTGCCTCTGACACACCTACAACTGCAGTTATGAAAGATAATGGATTTTTATTCATTGTTTGATTCCACTGTGGTGTACAGCAGCAAAACTGAAAAAAAAATAAAAATAAATAAAAGTGCCTTCATCCAGCAAGTTATGGACCTGTACTGAGTACAAATCAATAGTTTAAGCCATTAATGACCCAAGAAATAAAACAAAGATTTCATGATGATGCGCTCTAGTATAAAATAAATATTTATGACAGTATGTTTGCACTGAAGCACCGCAGCAATTTCCTAATGTTGTAAACCTGCTCAACATTTGGCAATAAACCCCTTTCTGATTCTGATTCTGATTCTGATTCTGAAATGTTTAGTATTGTCATGTGAAACGTGCCAATTATGAAAAAATTACTGATCCTAATTAACTTAAGTGTTTATAATAATAATGACAGCAAGAACAGA